ACAAATTATTGAAAATTTAATTTTTCTTAACTTTTTTTAATATTATAAAAAATTGACATTTATTTATTTACTTTCAGTTTCCAATTTTTCAAATCTAAATATCTTGCAAAAAAAATTTTTTTTTGCAAAACTGTTTGTCACAGTTATTTAGTACCCCAAATACTACAAAATTACAAACTTTAAGAAAAATCGGTGATCCACCATTTACTTTTCGTATAGAACAGCCCTTGATATAAAAATTTTAATTTGTAGTATCAAATAAATAGTTATTTGTAGCAAATTCGAATTATTTAAGTCAAATGAATGGAATAATTGGATCTAATAAATATTGCTTTAAATCAAAAATTAGGAAAATTACTTGATTCAGTAATGCATGGATTTTAATTCAAATAAATATTTATTTGCATCAATAAAATAATTTTTTTAAAATAACTAAATATTTATGGAACATTCCGCACGTCAACACGGACAGAGCTCTAAACAAAAATTGCTTTGATAGATTTAAACGTTCTAGGGCTTAAAAGATTTCTACATTCATGTACTTTAAGATGGAGATGGGCGTTTTTTGCAAATTTTCATTTCCGATGCCAATAGAGCTGTCAAAAATCAAATAATCCAAAAATTTCAAAATACTTTTATGAATTAAAAGCAAAAAACAACTTAAATTATTGTGTAACTAATTCTTTAACAGTTTTTTAAGGTCCCCGAATATAAATCTAAAGTTTTTTTTAAAAAATCTAAAATGTCGGATCCAATATGGCGGACAAAATTCAAATTTTATCAGATTCGATTAAAACTTGTTACTCGGTGGTTTTTAGGGTCGCTGATTACGAATCTACACTACCCGTCAAAATTGAGAGACCATTCATTTTCAGGTGATTGAAAAACATTTTAAAACATAAAATGTAATATGGAAACTAAAATATTTTGCTTTTTATTTTTTGAAAGATGATAAAATTTTGAAAAGAACAAGATCTTTTAGAAGTCATATGGCCAACATTTTATTTAGATATTTTTAAAAAATCGTCTTTTTCAATGTCTTACAAAAATTTAAATAACTTTTAAAATAATGAACGCTTTTTAATGATCTTAAGCTTATTTTAAAGGTCATTTGCTACACTATAAGAATTACTTATAGGCATTAACGTGTAATTTTTTTCTTAGAAAATGCAGGCCGTCAAACTTGGACCAAAAAAATTCAAAAAATTTGGAACAATTTTTCAGTACTATAAACTATTTTCGAAAATACATAAAACATTATATGGTGTAGATTTTTCAAGAAAATTTAATAAAAAAATACGTTTGAATTTTAAAAATTATTTTTCTGTAAATAAGAATGTTTCAAATTTTTTATATTTTTTTGGTTCAAGTTTGACCGCCTGCATTTTTTAAGAAAAAAATTACACGTTAATGCCTATAAGTAATTCATATAGTGTAGCAAATGACCTTTAAAGTAAGCCTAAGATCATTAAAAAGCGTTCATTATTTTAGAAGTTATTCAAATTTTTGTAAAACATTGAAAATAGCGATTTTTAAAAATATCTAAATGAATTATTGGTCAAACGACTTCTGAAATATCTTGTTCTGTTCAAAATTTTATCATCTTTAAAAAAATGAGCAGAAAAAAATTTTAGTGTTAATAAATTTTATGTTTTAAAACAATTTTCATTCGCCTGAAAATGGGTGGTCTCTCATGACCAGTAGTGTAAAGTCACTTTTTAAAAATTCAAAATGACGGATCCAATATGGCGAAAAAAATTTTTAAATTTGATTCTATTTTCTTCAAACGTGTTACTCGGGGGCTTTTGGGGTGGCAGATTATGAATATAAAGTTACTTTGTAGAAATTGAAAATGATGAATCCAATATGGTGGACAAATTTTTAAATTTGATCAGATTTAGTTAAAAAGTGTTACTCGGGGGTTTTTAGCGTATCTGATTACGAATTTGAAGTCACTTTTAAGAAATTCTAGTTTCATACTGTTCGATAATGTAAACAATTTGTTATTATTACAAATTTGAAAATTGTTTCCGCCATTTTGAATTCTAAATTTTTAAAAAGTGACTTCAGATTCGTAATCAGCGACCCTAAAAACCCCCGAGTAACAAGTTTTAATCGAATCTGTTCCAGTTAAAAAACTGTTAAAGAATGAGTTACAGAATAATTTACCTCGTTTTTTGCTTTTAATTCATAAAAGTATTTTGAATTTTTTTGGACCATTTGACTTTTGACACCTCTATTGGCATCGGAAATGAAAATTTGCAAAAAAACGCCCATCGGCATCTTAAAGTACATGAATGTAGAAATCTTTTAAGCCCTAGAACGTTTAAATCCATCAAAGCAATTTTTGTTTAGAGCTCTGTCCGTGTTGACGTGGAATTTCCCTTATTTATATCAAATATGCAATTATTTTTCATAATTAATTATTTTAATTTAGACCAATATCTCTTTAATTGCGTCAAATAATTATTTATGTAGTCATTCAAATAATTTTTTTATCTATATATTTATTTGATTCAAATAACTTGAATTATGCGAATATACGAAACTTTTTTCTTAGAAAATGCAGGTTGGCAATAAACTTAGACCAAAAGAATTTAAAAAATTTGAAACAATCTTATAAACCCCTTCGCTGTTTGGAAAAATAATCATATGATTGGCCCAAAATGTTCAGCAAAATCTGGTAGATGAATTTTTATGAAACTTAGTATGCAAGGGTTTTTGGGGTCGCTAAATATAAATATGACGTCAAAAAAAATTCAAAATGGCGGATCCAATATGTCGGACAAAATTTTTAAATTTTAAATAGATATTATAAACAAAAAAAAACAAAGAACAGAAAGTGTAATGCAAAACCTTTGCAGCCTCCACGCGGCACATTCTGGTGTCATGATTCGTTTTATCAGCTAATGCAAAGGATATAGAATAGAGTACAAAATTTGATAAAAATCGGGATGAATTAAAAAAATTACGTCCCTCATTTTGAATTCATAATTTTTTATTTTGAAAGACAAATTTAAATTCAGCGACCTGACAAACCATTAGGTACTGAAATTCATAAAAATCCAAATGAATTTCAAAAATGATGTCCGCCATTTTGATTTTTTTTAAATTAATTAAATTTTCATATATTTTACTTGTTTTTAAATTGTTATATTATTTAAAAATAATAAACAATCATTTATTTATTACTTAATTTAGGAGCATTGCAATTAATAGTGTGTTAATAATGATATAAAAAAATTTATTTTATAATTTACATAAGAAATTGCATTTATTTTGCGCTAAGAACTTTACTACCCAACGGTCGTTAACAGGCAACGGGTTAACAGAAAAATAATTTTTAAAATTCAAACATATTTTTTTACTAAATTTTCTTGAAAAATCTACATCATATCATGTTTGAAATAATTTTTTTGTACAAAAAACTATCCTTCAAAAAATATAAAAAATGAAAAAAATGAAAAAATTGAAATTTTTGTGTATAACTTTGCCGACCTGCAATTTCTAAGAAAAAATTACACGTTAATGTCTACAAGTAATTCCCATTTTGTAGAATAGATTATTGAGTATTGAGATTTAACAATTCTATTTCTGTGTAAGATATTTTTAAAAAAATCATTATTGTCAATGTTTTACAAAAATTTAAATAACTTCTAAAAACATAAACACTTTTAATGATCTTAAGCTTATAAGCTTATAATTATCATGTTTTTAGAAGTTATTTAAATTTTTGTAAAACATTGACAATAATGATTTTTTTAAAATATCTTACACAGAAATAGAATTGTTAAATCTAAATATAATTACTCTAATTATTATTATATAATAATATTGGAATTAATATAATATAATTACTCGGGGGCTTTTGGGGTCGCAGATTATGAATATAAAGTTACTTTGTAGAAATTGAACATGATGAATCCAATATGGTGGACAAATTTTTAAATTTGATCAGATTTAATGAAAAAGTGTTACTCGGGGGTTTTTAGCGTATCTGATTACGAATTTGAAGTCACTTTTAAGAAATTCTAGCTTCATACTGTTCTATAATCTAAACAATTTGTTATTATTACAAACTTTAAGCGAAATGTATCAAAATTGGACATTTTTTCAGTCATATGGGATCCACTATTTTCAATTTTTAAATTGTGATTTCAGATTCGGAATCAGATACCTTAAAAAACCCCCGAGTAACACGTTAATTATATCTAATCAAATTTAAAAATTTGTCCACCATATTGGATCCGCCGCATTTTTATTTCTAAAAAGTGATTTCATATTTGTAATCTGTGGCCCCATAAGCTTCCGAGTAATACGTTTTAAGGGAATCGGATCAAATTTGAAAATTTTTTCCGCTATTTTGAATTTTTAAAAAGTGACTTCACACGGAGAAAAATGGTGCTGAGTTTCTAGTAAAAGTTCCTATGGAATAGTAATAATTCTACTTTTATATTAAAAATTACTATTCATAGTAAAATGTACTTCGCATGAAGTAAAAATTACTATTTTTGGTAGTAAAAATTACTAATAGTAATTATTACAGTAGTCACGTTTAAAAATTGCTTTAAGAATTTTAATTTTTACATCGTCATTGTAAATTTTATTAAATTTTGTATTACTTTTTACATTCGATATGTTGTAAATATTACTTGTAGAAATTCTAATAATTAATACTGCGGAAAATAAAGATTGCTTCTGCAAGAAGCAACTTTTACTATTGCAGAACAAACTTTTTACTCGTAAAAGTAGTAATCCGTACCACTACTGTTACACACCTATGTGTGTGATCACGTCACTACTGTCATGCGCAGCGACCGTAACCTGACGTCAAAGTGATCCAACATTTCTAGGTTACAAGAAGCACGTGAAGCACGGTTCAGTTCTTTGGACAATTTTGTTTATATCAGTGGTGCGATCACGAAGTAGTATAAGGAGACTTGACGGGCTGAAAAACATGGCTCCAAAACAAAGCGAAGCCTATCTCAAGTTTTCCGGTGTCCGACTGTTCAGCGCGACCTCCTCGGGAAAATTTACAACTAAGTGGTATATGTGGTTCGCCTGCTACCAATTTCAAATTAAAGAGCGCCCGTTAGAAATGTCAAAGATTGACTTTATTTATTCCAATTTTATAAACGAAATAAATTCTTTGTTTCTTGTCATATGATACCACTTATCAGAAGGTAATTGTGATTTATTAAATTTGATCTTACACTCTTCAAATGTAAGTTTTTCCATCGAATATTCCATGATTCTTTGTTTTTCTTTTTAATAATTAATAATATCTAAAAACAAAAATTATTTATGTATTTCCGTGTCTGTGAAAATCAATTACATAAATATAACCTAAAACAATAAACGTAAATACAGTCAAAAAAACATGATCTCTTTAAAAAATAATGCTGAATATTATTTGTAAAGAAAGTAAGCTTTCATACGTACTGTCAAATAGTCTTATTTTGCTCCCATAATTAAATAATAAGTAATTATTTAAATTATTATTTATGTCATTCAAATGTAAACACTTCACAGTGCTTTAAAAGCAGACGTCACTATTTAGTTGTAAATTTTCCCGAGGAGGTCGCGCGGAACAGTCGAACACCGGAAAACTTGAGATAGGCTTCGCCTTGTTTTGGGGCCATGTTTTTTTGAACTTTACATGGGCGTTAAGTCTCCTTATACTACTTCGTGGGTGCGATCATTAATTGCTATATGCATTTTAATTATTTATCAATTTCCAAAGTATGCAATTCATGTATAATCACTTAATAATTAGTTAATTAATTTTTAATGAATTACTAATTAATTAATAAAAAATATATAAACAAATAAAATCATTAACATTATAATCTAATAATTTAATAATTAAAATAAGTAATTTTAAATTAATAATACTGTTTATTATTATTATTATTATTATTATTATTATTATTATTATTATAATAATAAATGTTTATATTTTAATTCAGTAACTTATCTAAATAAATATAATTTATGATTCACTTTATCGAAAAGAGATACATATATGCGGGTAACATGAAATTTTCTCCATAGCGATTGCGTAGCCGAGAGGCTTAGTATAAATGCGTGCGATTTTAGGTTGCGTTAGATATAAGTTAGGTAGGGTTCGAAACTGTATAGATGTTAAGATTTTCCGATATGTTAAGTTGTTAATTGTAAGTAAGAATGTGAAAAAAAAGTAAAACTTATGAATAATGAATAATAATACACATGCAGAGTGTTAATTACTTTAAAAAATATTTTTTGAACGCACTGATTATTTTATTTTAATTTATTAAAATAAAACGAGGCTCTCTACACCAGCATTTTTTTTTCGTCACGGCGTGGACAGACGCGCAGGCGCGCCGGCATTCGTTTCGCCCGTCGGTGTGAGGCGCGTCATTGTGTGGGTACGGATTACTACTTTTACGAGTAAAAATCTTTACCGAAATAGTAATAATTGCTCTGATTCGTAATAAATGTTGCTTCGCTCAGAGTATTAATTGCTCGGGACATTTTAAATATTACTCGGCTTTTAATAAAATTTAGATTCCTTGAAGTAAATTATACTTTTTCAAAAAAGTAAAAGTCGTTTGAATACGAAGCAAAAGTTACTATTTTTCGAGCAGTTTCAAAATTACTACTTAAAAGTAGTAATTTTTCATCGAAAAAAGTATAATTATTACTATTTATTTTTCTCCGTGCAGATTCGTAATCAGCGACCCTAAAAACCTCCGAGTAACAAGTTTTAATCGAATCTGTTCAAATTTGAATTTTGTCCGCCATATTGGATCTGCCATTTTGAATTTAAAAAAAAACTTTAGATTTATATTCGGGGACCCTAAAAACTGTTAAAGAATGAGTTACAAAATAATTTACCCCGTTTTTTGCTTTTAATTCATAAAAGTATTTTGAGATTTTTGGACCTTTTGACTTTTGACAGCTCTATTGGCATCGTAAATGAAAATTTGCAAAAAAACGCCCATCGGCATCTTAAAGTACATGAATGTAGAAATCTTTTAAGCCCTAGAACGTTTAAATCCATCAAAGCAATTTTTGTTTAGAGCTCTCTCCGTGTTGACGTGGAATTTTCCTTATTTATATCAAATATGCAATTATTTTTCAAAATTAATTATTTTAATTTAGGCCAATATCTCTTTAATTGCGTCAAATAATTATTTATGTAGTCCTTATACCAAATTTATAATAAATAAATTAATGTTCTTCCATTTGCATACGTAAAAGTATTAGCACACTAAAAAAAATTATCTCATTCAAATAATTTTGTTATCTATATATTTATTTGATTCAAATAACTTGAATTATGCGAATATACGAAACTTTTTTCTTAGAAAATGCAGGTTGGCAAACTTAGACCAAAAGAATTTAAAAATTTGAAACAATCTTATAAACCCCTTCGCTGTTTGGAAAAATAATAATCATATGATTGGCCCAAAATGTTCAGCAAAATCTGTTAGATGAATTTTTATGAAACTTAGTAAACAAGGGTTTTTGGGGTCGCTGAATATAAATATGACGTCAAAAAAAATTCAAAATGGTGGATCCAATATGTCGGACAAAATTTTTAAATTTTAAACAGATATTATAAACAAAAAAACAAAGAACAAAAAGTGTAATGTAAAACCTTTGCAGCCTCCACGCGTCCCAAAATATCCCTAGATACTGAAATTGAAAAAAATCCAAATGAATTTTAAAAATTATGTCCACTATTTTGAATTTTTAAAAATGAAGGTCAAATTTGACTTTAGCTACCCGAAAAACCCCTAGATACTGAAATTAATAAAAATCCAAATGAATTTCAAAAAGTATGTCCGCCAATTTGGATCCTGCATTTTGAAGTTTTAAAAATGATGGTCAAACTCGAATTCAGCGACCTGAAAAACCCTTCGGTACTGAAATTGATAAAAATCCAAATAAATTTCAAAAATGATGTCCGCCATTTTAAATTTTTTAAAATTAAGGTCAAATTCGAATTCACCGACTCCAAAAACCCTTATATACACTATGTGACTTAAATTAAAAATAAATTTTCATAAATTTTACTTGTTTTTAAATTGTTATATTATTTAAAAATAATAAATAATAATTTATTTATTACTTAATTTACGATCATTGCAATCAATAGTGTGTTAATAATGATATAAAACAATTTATTTTATAATTTACATAAAAAATTGCATTTATTTTGCGCTAAGAAGTTTACTACCCAACGGTCGTTAACAGGCAACGGGTTAACAGAAAAATATTTTTTAAAATTAAAACATATTTTTTTACTAAATTTTCTTGAAAAATCTACATCATATCATGTTTTATATTTTTTGAAGGATAGTTTTTTGTACAAAAAAATTATTTCAAATTGAAATTTTTGTGTATAACTTTGCCGACCTGCAATTTCTAAGAAAAAATTACACGTTAATGTCTACAAGTAATTCCCATTCTGTAGAAAATAACCTTTAAAGTAAGCTTAAGATTTTTTTCACTTACAGTACAATTCAACACTTCTTATTTTGTAAATTTCATATTTTGGACATTTTGGGCTTTGGGAATTTTGTATTGTAAAAAAATAATTTTTAGTTTGTGTATGGATTAAAAAATTCAATTTTAAAGTTCTGAATGTTCTTCGCATGCTTTATAGTGATAGAACACTACTTCGCATGCTTGATACTAATAGAACACTACTGCGCATGCGTTATAGTGATAGAACACTACTGCGCATGCGTTATAGTGATAGAACACTACTGCGCATTCCTGACATTGATAGAACACTACTGCGCATGCCTGACATTTACAGAACACTACTGCGCATGTCTGACATTGATAGATTACTACTGCGCATGCCTGACATTCACAGTACACTACTGCGCAGATAGAACACTACTGTGCTTGCCTGACATTGATAGAATACTACTGCGCATGTCTGACATTGACAGAACACTTCTGCGCATGCGTTATAGTGATAGAACACTACTGCGCATGCGTGATACTGATAGAACACTACTGCGCATGCTTGATACTGATAGAACACTACTGTGCATGTGTGATACTGATAGAACACTGCTGCGCATGCGTTATAGTGATTGAACACTACTGCGCATGCCTGACATTCACAGAACACTACTGCGCATGTCTGACATTGATAGAATACTACTGCGCATGTCTGACATTCACAAAACACTACTGCGCATGCGTATATGTATGTACAATGAGTATGCATATACGATACGATAAATAAATGATAAAAGTCGAACGACCGAACGATGAAGTACGGAGTTACACGAACGACGGACGACAAAACGACGACGAATATGTTAATATTATAGGAGATTATATTATTATTATTATTATTATTATTATTATTATTTATTGCAGCAGCAATGCACGACTGCGGTAACGTACTACGCGACTTGTGCAGTATGGTGCTATGGCGCGGCGACGCTTTTTTTACAAAAACTTCAATATCTCCGGACCCAGTTGAGTCTCCATCAATTTTTTTTATGAAATTGAAGGTGAATTTATAAGGAATCCAAATATGTTATTAACATTTTTTCAGAAAGGAGTAAATAAACAAAAAATTGTTTAAACAAATTTTTTAAAATTTGTTTATTTAAAAATTTATTTATTTTTATTAACTTTATTTGCATTTTAAAGTACATACTTTTACCTGAAAAATGTGTAAATTTCATTAAACTCCATAAAAAATATTTCGAGATATTCTTAATATAAAATAATGATACACTGAAAAAGGGAGTTAAATTTTAACTCCCCCGGGGGGTCAATAAAAGTCGCATCCTTTGGGGAGTTAATGCCAGGGGAGTTAAATAAAGAGAGTTAAAATTTCACACCCAAATGCTAACTCCCCAAGGAAAAAATAACTCGCGCGGGTGTTGAATGAAGGGAGTTAGAAATTAACTCTCTTTTGGAGTTGATTTTTAACTCGAAAAATTTCACTCCCAACTCCAGAGTCCGTTAACTCCCTAAATTTTTTACAGTGTAATACTTTTATAAGTTGTTTAATTTCAAAAAGCTTTGAATTTGACATTTTTAAAAATCTGAATTCCTGCGGAAGAATAATAATAATTAAATATTTATTTAAAAAAGAAATTATTGTTTTCGAATAATTTTACAATTAAGAATACACGTAAATAAATTTAACAGAACATTTTTTTCAATAAAATTTTTTCCTTTATTTTCTAAAAATTCAAAAATTTTCAGTTTCATTTTCAGTAAAATTTTCTAATTGATAAATATAATTTATAAACATTTTTTTCCTTTATTTTTAAAAGACTTTGAATTTTTTTAAAACATTTGAAATTAAGAAAAAGAATTGATGCAAATTATTTCCTTCTGAAAATTGAGAATTTTTTACAAAAATATTAAGAAACGAGAATACGTACCTAATGTTTTATTCCCCATAGGGAAAAGAATGAGTTTATGAACTCATTCGCAATTGCTATTAGGGTCAGAATTTCTCAAACCTGAAACTAAAAATTTTTTTTTGAACCAAAATAGTTTTTTTTGACTCTTAATATCGTTAAGAAGAATCCCTGAAAATATTAAGGCAAAAAAAATTTTTTGTAAAAGTTATTAACAATTGAATTTTTTAGAAATTTTT